CTGATAGATTTCTTTCCTTAATGACCCGCTCTTTAGGGAACAATCTAATAGGCCGCCTTTGGAGGTAAAATAAAATATATGCAGGTTTCTGCCCCTGCCACTGTTAAGGATACAACGTGCTTGTCATCCCCGTACAGCTCGTTCACGACTCCGGTTACAAAGCAGGTTAAACTACACTATATGAACATTGTTGCTGACAACTTTAATACCATGAAATCATATTCATCACCATGTATTGCGGTATGCTTTAGACAAACGGCTTTCGATTGTTATTGTTTTCCTCAGAACTTTTAATTTCGGAATCAGGATATATTTTATAGTTATGAGTCTTCCGTCCGGGTAGCTGAAAATGGCATACGTCATTGTTATCCACATGCACATTCCTTTGGTATGGTTCTTTTAGATTACACTTTTATGAAAACAGGATAAAGATAGACTGTCCCTGTCTGAACACCGCTGTCTACGCAGCATTGCACGAATCTGGTGGGGCACCCGGACGAACAATGCTGAGGTTAGACGCAGTTTTAGGTAAATACTTTCGTCCACTGGAGCCAATAGTCGACCTCCATAGATTACGTTGTGTTACGCATGTCACCAGATAGGCTGCCACGGCGAGCGATGTTCGCCGAGGCAGGTAGTGAGTGGAAGAAAGTCAAAGATGGTCAAGCTAAGACCTGGGATGAGGGTATGAAAACCCTAACCAGGAGTCTGGGTCACATAGGTCCCGTTAGGCTCCCTGGATGGGGACCTCGGGATGATCATACCCGATGGTTAGAGACACTGAATGATAGGCCTGGGTGTCGCAAACAGTGGCACTCATGCATCTTCTCGATTTCTCTGCAAAATTAGTGCAATTGAATCCTAAATTTTCTCTCCGGTTCTACTTTCAACCTTCCCTGTCTTTCTCCTCATGTTCATCCAAATGGCCAGTCAAAACACAGCAACCAAAACCGGCGCACGATAGTGCATGTTGAATGGTTGTATAAACTGAAACGGAACACTATTTTTCGTTGTTTTGCGCGGGACACGTAAAGTAACTTTTCGGAATGACTGATTGTTCATCACAAAAACCCTACCCAAAGAATATCTGTCAGCGAATTTTGGTGGTTTTTGACAAAGACCGATACTACCGCTTTTAGTCCAGCTGTACGTTGATGACAAAACACGATGAGAAGTATGTTACAAGGAGTAAATTTTATTGATACGCTGGTTTTGTGCTGTTTATTTGTGAATCTTTACTATGATTCTAATTATTATTTTGAGTTAGAAGCTACTAACCGCAGAAAAGCTGAGTTAATGTCCTTTTCCGATTAATATGTACAACGAGGTATCTGAAAGTGTCGAAACTACATATATATCTGGGGATCAGGTACATGAATGATTGTACGACAGAGGGTCGAGTTAGCAGGTTTGGTAAACTGCTGTAACCGCGAAACCGGTCGTGCGCTTATAAGGAAATTTTGTACAACCACTGAGATACTACGTAATATATCATAAAGCCATTAAACCAGCTTTGTTGCGGTCAATCGCGGTTAACCCACAAAAGCTCATCTAAGATGACAGTAATGATTCACAAATGGGCAGTATAAGATCCATAGTTAAGCAAAATTTACCAACGGAAGGCAGATTATAAATTGGTAATATAAATGTATATCTCAAGAGAGAATGGCGCCTTGCACTGAATAGTAAAATGTTTATTGTAACGTTTCAATCGATATTCAAATTCATTGTCAAACTTAAATGGATTGAATGAGATAATGGGATTACAGTCTTTCCGTACTATGTGCTGTTTGTAAGTCTGTCGGTCCACTAATCGTCACTGGTTTTGCGAGTGCCACGTAATGTTTGCTTATCTCGAATTAACCGAGTATACACAGACATACACACACACACATATATATATAAATATACATACAGAGAGAGAAAAAGTTAGGCAATAAGAAGTGCGTTCTTCAATTGGGTGATGCGTATTTGATTGCTGAAAGATTTTAAATAAAACCAGTGGTTTTGTATAAGGAACTGGGACATAGAGAACGGCAGAGAGAACGAAAGCCCGATTGGTGAGGTCACACCCTTCCGGTTGAAGTTAAGTGATCATGGTAAAAGTCATGGTTAGTTTTCTAGCGTGATTTGACAAACTGCTTTTGTGATAACTTTGCAACCGCTCTTGGTGTTGCAGTATGAAGTTATCGGGGCAGTTTTAATGGGGCTGAAGGCAACTTGTTGAGTGCATCTTTGTTCACCGACTTGCACTGCATATGGTTTATGTGGGTCGGCGGGGGGGGGGTTAACCAAGAGAAGTTGTGTTCCTCTATTCTTTGACGAAACAATGGTAATGTTGATTAGGCAAATTAGGAGCATGAAAATTTATGATACATTATCAATCTGCTCTCCGATGAACCCTTTTTCAATGACTTCAAAATGTTGATGGCTCCATTTGGTTTAGTAAGACTTCGGCTTACTTTAATTTTAGTATTTTATTATCTTTTTCTGATTTATAAAAAGGTAAAATGAAACCGGTGATGTTTACGCATGATGAATTAACATTCGGTTACAAGAGCTTGATCAATCATCTCGAAGGCAAAGTAAGTTTGTATTTGGTTCTGATCAGTATTTACCTCAACTTGTGTAAGATGATGAAATTGAAGAGAAAAGTTAAATGTTCAGTGCCGATATAAAGGACAAAATCAGAGTATCAATCTAAAAAGCCGCAATTGAAGGCCGATGAAGTGAAAAATAAAAGCTAGTTTCGTACGTTGGTGTTGATCTTGTGGGAATTCGCCTACTTCTGCAAGGATCTTATTGTTATGGGGATTACTCCTTAGGAGTTTGTTAATTTCCCGTTGGCTTCACACATTTTATTGCTCGTGTGTAATGCATGTAATGGCCGAGAGAGAGTACTGGAAAATTATTTTATCCTTTTGAAGACTTGTTGGTGGTGTACCTTTTTCCCTTAGCGGGAACCCAAGTAAAAGGTGTTAGATGAAAATACTGAAGCATTATTCGTCTAATCAGAGAAGGCTTTTTAAGTGCGGGTGCTTTCTCAAGCACTACTGGTGTTCCTCAGTATTAGTCCAGTGTCTTTTTAAAATAGATGTACTCAAAGTAAACAAATGCAAATAACCCCAATCATTATTTTTTATTGCAACTAAAACAATAAAATCGTTTTAAATAATATTATATCTGGAAAAAGCTGCAGCGAAGAAAGTAAATTAATGGTGACTTAACTGGCAGTTTGATGCAGTGCAGCTGCGTTTTGGTGATCAAACCAGTCAGGTGACCATACCAGTCAAACTAATTAATGAAGGGGCTGGAGACCGATGTTGGGGAGAAAACGATAACCACACCAACCTCTTTTAATTTTGATTGATAGTGTCTATATCTTCAAGTAAAATGAAGGGCCAATTAGATAGTTTCCAAAGAAATGGGAACCATACAAAGGTTAGTTCAATCTGGTGTTCTCGATATTTTTGTAGCAACGTTTGTTGTGCATTCCCCTCTCCATGAAAACGGTAACTGATACTGCAAAATCTGTTTCGACTTCCCTCAAAACTGAGCGATTAAACGCCGAGGTGGCCAATTATAATTAGGTGGACTGTTTTTTAGGTGAGTTTCCTCTGAGAAACGAATATGAGGTTGACCGGCTTCAGTCAACCGTGACGTCTTTAAGACAAATAATTTTTCCATTTTGTTGTCCGGTGTGCCATAGCAACAAGAAAAATATTTTATGATTTAAATATGTAGTTATTGAAAGTGAAAAATGCATATAGATAGCTTATTGATGCTGATGCTGTCATGTCCGTTGGCCGTGACGCATTCTTTAAATTCCTTGATATTGCAAGCGGGTTTATACGACCGCTGCTTCTATTTGATTTCCTTAATTCCTTTTGAACCCCTTGACCATCACACAATAATGCTTTACTTTTCCTCATTCGTTCGATTCACTGACCAGCAGCCAATGAGATATTATCGAAGTGTTCCGCCCAGAATNAATACACTGTTTCCAAACTTTTCATTCTGTGGTCAGAATAAGTTGGAAGTCACAGTCAAACATCAGATTCAGGAGAAGATCAGAATCATCCGACAGACCCCTGCTTCAAACAGCAAAACAGAGGTTTGTCTATTGTGAACATGTTTGTTCCCCATTCCAGATTCCTGCCACGAACAGCAACTGTTAGCACCATTAAGCCTGTTACTGAAAAAGGTGAAGTGGCAATGGCGGAGTTCATATGGAGAAGTATTTCAGAAAGCGAAACAGATATTTGTTCGAGCTCATAAACTTCAATATTTAACACCGGGGAGGCGAAAATCCTTTACTGCTAAGTACGACGCATGTTATTGACCCCAAAGGGTTTTGCCGGAAGAGGAAGATGGGTTGCATTTGCATGACAGACATTCAGTCCAGTAGAAAACAATAAACTCAGCTAGATTCGTAGATCTAAGTTTTCGTTCTCGATTTGTAGCGCTTTCATCATCATCTGACGAAGACCACCAGCATGTAGTCCGGGTTTGGAATTTATACAAAAACATGAAACCATAAGGCTCTCTAGAAGCACTAGTTTCTTAAAATGAACCAACTAAACCTAGGCAATGCATTCATATTGTTTACACGGGGCCTTCTGACGGCTACATAATCCTTTTGAGCTACTAGTATGTAGAGCCTATAGCGGTCAAAAATGCAAACAATCAAACCGCAATCGTTATCCTCAGCTCATATCTTTGTATGCATGATAATTTGGACAGCATGTGCGACTGGGGTTTGGCCTACACAGATGAACAGTTTGTCAATTCCTACAACATAAGAGATCAACAGAAGAATCAACCTTCATATTATTCGTTGTCGTACGTTTTAGTCGCTTGCACTGTTCAAATAGCTGAATAATGTGTTCAAAAGTCTAGCAGAGGTATATACAATCGGTTGAATAAGTTTATTTTCAGCGATCGAATAACAAAACAAACTACAACTGGCATTTTTATAGGAGAGTTCTAAGGCAAGAGTCTTGCCTTGAGACCAGTGATTTCGCCTTATAACTAAACAGGAGACAGACATAGTTCGAAATGGTACGTTTTCTGTACGTGGATGTAGATACAGATCGCAGTTAAATTTAGGATGTTTTCGGGGATTTAGCATAGCCTCCCAGATTTCGGGGTGTAGAAAATGCAATTCACCAATAGCCATTCTATCAATTAAACCATTCACATACTTTGAGATACTTAAAAACGAAAGAATTATAACTTAAACAAAACAATGTATTAAATGTATTAAAAGTACTGTGTACGTTGAAATTTTGTCTTTATATAAAGACAAAATTTCAACGTACACGGTACTTTTGAGTTCAACCAGTCAGAAAAACTGAACAGAAGTATAATCATTGCGGAAGGATGTGATAAATCAATTTGAAGGATAAGGTTTGGTGAGCCTGTAGAAAGAAAATAGCAGCCCTCGGATTTGGGTGAAAACGTTTTCAACTTGAGCGGATTAGGAAAAGCTATGGCTGAAAGTAAAATCAGGTCTTTAACAGAGTCAACATTGCGAATAATCTGCCTAATGACAACAAGATCGGCGAGACTATTCAGGAAAGTTAGATATACTGGTGTCAAACGCATCATTATTGCGCCTGCTGATAAGCGCAAGGAAGGTGATGGCCGGGTGGTAAAGATAACCAAATTATCACCCCGCACGACGTGTGTCCGAATTCTACTACCACCAAATGATTTCCCCCATCACGTATGTCGTATGACAGCTTTTGATTGTCTGCTTTCCAATTCCTAAAATAGGTACATGGTATTACTGTTTATTCAATAGCAGGAAGTAAAAGTAAAAGAAAGAATAGAATACCGGAAGCGGGACAGGAATCATACATGATTTTCAATAAGTTTAACTTAGCGGGACAGGAAACTATTTGTACCAAAGAATTCACAACCTATTGCTAAGTAGCAAGCAGCAGCAGGGATATAAAAATATTCTGTATGTAAAATAAAAGAAAAGGGACAAATATCATCCTGGAAGACACCATAATAGGTGTTCGCAGAAGAAGACCTTGTACTATTATTTAAGTTGGATTGAATACTACGGGAGAAGTAGTTCAATAGACCCTAAAACTTTGGGCCTCAGACCACACTCAAAAAGACGCTCAATAAGGATTCCTCCTTTGAGAGAAACAAACGATGTTGCCTGATCAGGAAGAGTCAACCGAACAGTACTGGCATTGTTGTCTTGGACGAATGCAACGAAGTGTACGCTGTAACCTACAGCATTAAGTGTTGAGTGATTAGATTTTCTAAGTAAACGGGCTCATTTGCGTCACACACTGTTTGGTTCACCAAAACATATTAAAAGGCATCCAGCACCACAGTGGTACTTTGGGTTGTTGGTATTGACCGGGGTGACCTCCAACAATCAGGGATCTTTGCGGGTGACAAAGAGAGGTTGAGAAATTCAGCAAGCGGTTTTCCCAGCTGTTTATCATATATTGCCAACAGGGAGTGTAGTAACAGATCGGGGCGACGGTCGCCGTTGGCCCTAAATACCATGTAGACTGAAGGAATAGCAGAAGTTTATTTAATTTGTGAAAACAGTTGTAAGGGTCCTTGATTCAGGTGCATCTCCTAGTTGACGGTTTAGTTCTTCAACATTGTTATAAGATTTGGTTCAAGGTAGACAGCATCTCATGACAACACTTATGGCTTAAAACATCTCCATGTGAATTTTATTCATGCATCTTACTTCTGCTGTAATCAGAACAAATTGTTCTTCCAAATATTTGCACTTGCTGTCTCTGGGACGATCTGTCGAATAGAATTGAAATAATTACACTTGGGTAACGCCGGTTATAATGGAAATTAATACAATCGATGAGGTGTTTCCCAAGGTGAAGTACGATGCCTATTGGTGTAAACAATGAAGGCGATGAAAGGGAGTGAATTGCTAAACCAGGGAAATTTTGCAGTGGAACTACTATTCGGTATCCTTAAAGTTTAAGGGACAGATTGAAAATGTTAATGATTACTTTCGAAGTAAATCTTAGGTCTAGGCAAAATCTTACACTGATAGCGGGTATTTTTGAAATAAGAAAGAAATTACAATTATTTACACTCGCTGTTGAGCTGAAATTAAAGTCGAGTGGTATAATTTATAAGGTTCCCTCAACCTAAAGAAGAATATATGAAAGTGATTAAAATTGCCAGCTGTAATACGCTAAGGCTGTTCAATGCGGCTTGCAGATCGTGTTGATGGTTCATTGTCTAACAATGCTATCCCGAGGTATGGTGCCTCAGGGGCTACTTAAATATTCACAAAGTAAATAAATAGTAACCTACTGATGCAGTGAAGTTTCCAATAAAGAAATCACAATTGGTTTTGCCAGTTGCACAATGAAACATAATCTGAGTATTTTTCATTAATTTTGGGAATCAGCTCACCATCCCCGTTGAGAAACTTCTCCGTTTGATCTACACTAAACATATGGGATCCCTCGGATTCACTTTCATCACTCCTAATGTCTGGATGTATCCGAATCTGTTGGAGTGAAATTACTATAACATTTTTACATTGGTTCTGGTACTCCATATTTTTGACCCGTGAGCGAATGTTATCTGAAAAGCAGATGAAACCACTGAATTCAAAGGTCCAGCAATGGTGATTTCTGACCAGTGTGTTGGAACAGCTGTAAAGTCTTTCTAGGATTTGCAATGATGAGCGACACATGATTTCTTCTTAGAAAATACAGCTTTTACAGGCTGAGACAATATCTAGTTGTAACAACTATGAGCAATCGCGTTTTACAAACAATTTCAATTCGTGTACCTTCCATCACATTGTTCTGAGCAGCTTTTTTCACTCACGTTTTAGTACCTGAAACCGCGCACAGCATATTATTGTTATATGCCACTGGCACAGGCCACCGAACAAGCTAATATTGTGAGTTCCCTGAGATAATTTTCATTAATTGCCGTTAAGAATGTTCTGATTGTGTGAGGGAAAACAATATTCAGTCATGTGATCTTTTGAGTGGCAACCAAATCTTATGTTGTGCGAATGCATTTCATATAATTCTCGTTGATGTTTTGAGCAATTACCGTTGTAGCGTCCATTCAAGCACGTATTTTACTCACAACATTGAACTACTGACTTTCCGCTGGCTTCTTTTTACGCCTCAACAGGCAGGTGATTTAAATGATCATTCTAGGGTAAACAAAAGCCTCTGAACTGTCGAGGTTATAGTTTGATTTTTTATAGGAAAGAGATGGTTAATTTCTATTGGTGAGAACCTTTTGCTACGCATAAAGTGAACAGTAAATGGTAAATAGGGGAAAACTCATAGTCAGTTGCAAAGTGTAAAGGAAGGTGTATGTGGAAGAATATTTAATTGAGGACAACTTTGCTTTTGCAAAGATTTGGATTGTATGTGTTTGGAAATATGGAATCGGGAAGAGAGTTACATAATCCGGCAGACCTGAATAGAAAGGACCAAAGATAGAAGTCCGACATTTGAATACAGAAAACTGAGATGGTTGACTGCTTTCCTCAGAGCGAAATAGACGAGAAACGGACAAGGGGAAGGTCCGCTGAAACGAGTTCAGAACAGCAGAAACCAAAATATACTAACGATAGAAAATAGATAGCGAAGCAACTGCCCGGCAATTGGAAAAGTACTGCAGATTGGAAGTTAAGCATGGTTCTTTGATCAGTCCGGCCGCTTTACATTGAACACAGTAGAGAGGAGAAAGAGCGGAATACAAAATTCCACATACAAAGCTCCGTGACTGAAGGATGGAAGCTTTGTATAAAAGGAAGTGCTTGGGTGAAAAGAAACACCTGACACGGATTAAGCAACCAACTTTGCGCGCAGTGTGATAAGCTCGTGTGGGAATAAATAGAAAAAAGAAATTCATGGCTAAATTCAGCAGAGAGAATTCGTGAAACGAAGGTAAAGCGAATCAAAAATCCATTGGAATAATAGAGGGACGTTGAAAGGAGGCGGAAAGGTATGAAGTTTTGGCAGCATTGAAACACATGTCTGGTGGATTCCGGTGCGGATATCAGTCCAAGATCGGAGGCGAGAAGAGCACCAGTGACATTGCGATCGTGATCGATATTGGTTGTGTCCTGACGGGTGTTAGGGTAAGAATGAGAAAGAATGGTTTCATCGGCAGAAGCAGTGAATGGAATTAGAGGCTTTTGACAAACGGTTGTCAATAAATAGAAAAAAGTGAGTGTTCGAAAGAATGAGACATTTGGGAACATCGAAGGAGATGGTTCACTTGCCAAGGAGCGGTTACATTCACGATAGGAGAGACGGGTGAAATCCGAAAGTGGGTAACTATGACAGTAGACCTTTGTGCCAAACACGGTCTTGAAATGTCGAGCAAGAACAAATGAGTTGCTCCGTAAGTATCGAACGCAGTTTACCAGGAATGTGATGAGAGCCAAAAGATCACCCGTGAACCAATGAGGGTGAAATGCATATTGACGATCATTCGATAAATCGAGTTCGAGGAACACAAGCATTTGGTCGGGGATAACGTTTTTTTCAAAACTTTCTAGATTTTGATTGATGGGACGATAGACGTCGGGCCTCAGGAGGGGTCACCACGCTTTGAGATAAGGAAACTAACAGTATTCTTCCATGGAGCAGGAGAGATATATTGGTGAATAAAACTGCAAAACTGGAAGATTTAAAATGAATGTAGGTTAATTCATTTTTTTCGAATCAAAATCAACTTTGCTCTATGTACGCTGAATCCCTTTTTTGTCTCCTGTTTCCCATTTGTCTTAACAATTATTTCATGTTATTGATGTACTGGTATTAGCTGATATCATGATTTCTCTCATAGAAATGTTTAAGTCGTATTTAATAGATTGAATTGCAGTAAATACTAGATCTTCAACTCGTGAGTATAGCGCTCTTTGCATTGTCTCCTTTCTTTTTTTATTGTCCTTGAATCTCGGAGAACAAGCGATTAATTTGTTGTATATTGACATCGGATTGCACTATCTTTGCAAAATATCATTTTCAAGGCCTTGACATTGTATTGCGGAGCA